TCCTCCTCCTCCCACCTTCTCCTCCTCCCACCTTCTCCTCCTCCAAAGTTCTGCTTATGTAGTCCAAGCTGCTGTTAAACCAGAAATCCTTCTGCCTCAGCCTCCCCAGTGCTGGGATTAGAGGCATGTGCTGCCATGCCAAACCCATACGTTCTTACTGTTTTTCCTTGTCTGTATATCTTTGCCTATCACTACTTCAGTGAATAGTTTTATTTTAGGTGTATCTCTTGCATGCAGTATGGCCTTGGCTTTGTAAGTTGAACACCTTTTTCTCTTCCCCTCCTCTCCCTTCCCTTCCCCAGGCCTTAGACATGTTGGGAAAATAGTCACTGAGTTCTTGAGTTGTATCCTTATCTGTTTTCTTTAATAAGTATATTAAGCAGTCTGCATTTATAAGCATCACTAAGACATTTCATCTAAACTTGGTCACACTAAGTTTTGCTATAATTACTGTCTGTGTTACATAAAATTTATTGTCAGTGCGATTTTGTTTGTACTTTTTAAATTTTTTTCTTTAGGCGTTGAGGAGGTCTACTACTTGTATTCTGTTATTTTTGTAGTTACAGTTTTTTTTATTAACTGTTAATGTTATTTATTAATAATTTAATAGTTAAAAAAAATCTTTTTCTCTGTGAGAAAGGGGGATGTACCATAGTCTGATCTGGCTTTGAACTGGCTCCCTCATTCTACCTCAGCTTCCCCAGTGTAGGGATTATGGTCATGTATCACCACACCTAGCATGCTTATCGTTTTTAAGTTTTTGATTTGCAGCAATCAATGAAACTATTGTTTCCTTCTCTTTCATTCTATGGTGGCATCTTCTTTCCAGCTTGTTAGAACATATAATGTTTATATATTATAACTCTGTACGTGTTCCTACTCTTTTGTTCTTTTTCTGAAGTTTTCTCAGTGGTCTTTTGATTGGATGACATCATCTGGTAAGAGATTCCTTAGGAAAGTCTTGAGTACAGTGCCCTTTAAATTTTGCATTAATTTTTTTTCCTGTAGTCTTCATATTTGTAAGCTTGGTTGTCTGGTATAGAATTGGTTGTTGACAGTTCTGTGACTTTGGTGCTTGTTATTCCTTGAGCATCTTCTAATTTTTCCTCCCTTTTTTGTGGTGCTAGGGATTGAACCCAAGGCTTCAAGCTAAACAAGGTCCATACCATTGATCCATGCTCCCAGCCCTTGTTTGTTTTGTTTGTTCCCACCCTCCCTTCTTTCCCTCCCTCCCTTCCATTGGGCTTTTGCTGTGGAGGCCAGGTTGGCCTGGAACATACTATGTAGCCCAGACCACAAACTTGAGAACGTCCTGCTTTAGCCTTCTGAGTACTGGGATTACAGGTGTGCACCACCAAGTGGTGTTTTTTTTTCCTATGTATCATCTATCTATCATCTATGTATCATCTATCTATCATCTATCTATCTAATCTATCTATCTATCTATCTATCTATCTATCTATCATCTATATCTATCTATCTATCTATCTATCATCTATCTATCTATTTATCTATCTATCATCTATCTATCTAATATAT